CTCAGGCCTTCGTCGTCGCGCCGGGCTGCTGCCTGTGCTGGGAGTTCAGGGTAAAGGTGAGGAGCAAAGTAGCTGCTACACCACGTTATTCAATGCTGTCTCCAGCTGCTGCAAAGTACCATGGTTTTCCTCGCATGTTGTGTGGTTCTCCGGGTGGGACTGACACTCGTCGCCTCCCACTCTCGCACTTCGTGTTGTGGGGATGTCACGTCAGGACTACGACCTCGGCTTCGCGCTCCGGCGTCGCTTTCAAGGCATGGGTGGGTCGACAGAGGAAGACATTTTCGAGCTCAAACGGTAAGGCTGCTAGGGAAGTTACTGGGATGAAGCAGTGTTGAATTATGTTTATAGTACTCCAAACAATCCTAGTTCCCAGTTTTGGTCGCGAACGAAAAAATAGCGGGTCGAACATGGTCTTAAAGCGTTTTTGCCGCACAGGTTTGCTACGACGTGTTCTACGTTTGTGGTGGAGAGTGATGAATATGATTGGGCATGTTTGATCCGGTGCGTGTCGGGCATTCATGCCCAGAAACACGGCCGCCCGCGTAACCCATTGTGTATTTCTTGCGAAGTGCATGAAACACAGAGCGTCGAACCCTGGTCATACAACAAATCACCTTGAGCAATTGTAATCGGATTTAATCGCACACCTGGCTCTATCTCCATGCGCGCGCGAAAGAAATCATTCATGTTTCTAACCTACCCATCATAAATAAGGTTTTCGCGAGGCCGCGAAGAGCGTCTTCCAGGAACCGTGCAATATTTGGTTGCATTCCCCTTAGATGATCAGATGATCTTTGTTGTCTTTCCGCACCGTCTTCACTTTAGGTACGCGTCTGGAGAGACTTTCCAAGGACGGTGGACTGCCGACCGTGACAGTAACGCTCCTGCCGTGGTCATCATGGTGTGGGACAACTCCTACAGCTGCCTCAGACCGAAGACGCTCGCTTACAAGGTTCGCCCGTGTTGTTTACCCTACCCACCCTCTCACCCAACTTTTAGTGTACATTTCACAGCGAGGTAAATGATGTATACTGTTTTCAAGCTCGACACACTATCCTTATCACAGGGAAAGCCCCCGTAAGCATACCGTGGTGAAACGCAGCGCAAGGGTTGCAGATGCATGAAGTATGGCTGCAGTGCCGTACTTTGCGAGGAGCACTGTCAATTTCAAGCATCACACCGCTTCCCTCCAAACACAATCGGTGTTGAGGCACAAGGATTGTTGAATCAAACATCGGAACCTTGGCGAGCGAAACTTGGCGAGCCATATGGCCCAAGTATGAAAAAACATGGATGGCGCAGTAGTGGGCGCGACAGAAATAAATCCGTTTGCCAAACGAATGGAATGGTTTAAGTTTTGACCGTGTACCAACTTCCGCGGGGATAGGATTCGCTTTACCACGAGAGAAGCCGGGGCTGCACGAAGATTTCGAGAGCATCGGCCCCTTTCCGCTAAAAGCGTACAAGTAAAAGTGTGCGGGATCGTGGACGAGCCAGACTGCAGAAACTGCGGTGCTCCCGATTGTTGTTCTCTGATTTCCCGCAGATTCTTCGGGCTCTCAATGTCACCCTGCACCGTGTGTCCCCCCTGGTGTCGAAAATTGAACCTTTGCTTCACGAGTGGTCGTGCAAAGGCGCCCTGTATTACCGTACGAAAGAGGTGATGAGTAGAGTAACCGCTCCTTCCCCCCCGGTAGCCTACCAACATCCAACCAATCCTGAATCGTCCCTCTTCTCCCCCTCTCTATCAAATCACCATGCCAACCAGGCTCAGGTTAATCGACCAGGGGTTGATCCGGCGGCGCCCCCCCCGCCGCCTCCCCCGACCCCGGCCGCCATGTCTGCCGCCCAACCTCCCGTGGCGTTCGGCGGCGGCGTCGGAAGCGTGGGGGGAGCGGAAGACACAGAAGCCTTCGCGATCGACGAGTCTGAGGGCGAGGACACTTCCGCCTACTCCGCGGGCGTTGGCACTGACCGCGCTCGTGTTGCTGTTAGCAGTGTTGGCGGTGATGGTGGCGAGGAAGAGGCGGGGGGGGAGGGAGACAAGGGCGGAGTAGATGCGTCGGCAACGACAACTTCTAGGCGGCAGGGTGCCGACCCGACGATTCGCGGGAAGGGGGAGGGGAAGGGAGAGGGCGGGAGAGGGAGGGAGGGAGAGGGGGTCCCGAAAACGGTCAACATCGAAAACTTCTTGGCGATGCCCGAGACTGGAAGCGGCGATGGTGGGGGTGGCGATCGTGATAGTGCTGCTGCTGATGGTCATGGTGCGTCAAAGTGACGTCGGAGTTGTTTTTCCTCCGTGTTAATTGATGAGGTGTTTTTGAGTGCTCCGTCAGTATCAACGTGTCGTTTTTTGCTTGTTGAGGTTTTGATAAACCGGTGGTGACGGTGTTTTCGTGAAAGCAGCGGGGAGTATAGGATATGAAGTCCATATCATCGCCCATGCCGTGCAAGCTAGAAGTACCCCATCATCGCGGTAGGTTACATCATCGCGGGTATTTTGGTGGCGTACGTTGAGAATGGGAGTGTAGTCCAATACACATTTGGAATCCGTAGTGCTGGTCGACCTCCTCAGAGCTCCGCACGCCGTATTTTACGTCAAAGAGTGGAAATATATTTTGTGGGATGGTAGGATTCGGTCGAAGTGGGTGCATGCTGTGCAATAGATTCAGAAGCCAAAAGCCTAGACGGTCTTACGGTCGGTTGTTCTGTAGTGTTTTTAGACACGCAGCAAAGCGCACCGAAGTCGCGGCGGGGGGGGGCATGTCTCGAAGCTTGCTGATGCAAGGGGAGAAACAACCTGCTGTCAGTGGAGGACAATCGGTACTTAATGTTTTGTACTTGGAAGTATTGATATTCAGTATTTTTCGTGTTGTCGTGTTATCGTGTAGCGTATTTTGGGCGGGGGCCTTCGCGCATGAAGCGGCTGAAGGTTAATTAAGTGAGGGAGGGCGTGCATTGGCCGGAGTAAACAGTCCGACAGGGAGAGGCTCATGGTTTGGGAGGGCAAGGGGAGGAGGAAGAAGCAGAGAATACAGTGCTGTTTGACTCAACTCTTTTCTGACACGGTGGTTGTGTTGTGTAAATTTCAAGGTCATACGAGCGAGTGCTTGCAAAGCAAGCTGCGCGGTAAACCAGCCACTCGTTTTTTTTTGTGTCTGCACTCTTCATATGTACGAAACACAGCAGAGCGCTGGGGAGAGCTGGTGGTAGTGGAAGGGGAAACACGGCAATTAGAAAGGGAGGGAGGGGAGACATTGAAGTATACACAGTGGACAGGCTGCTTCATACGTCGGTCGTGTTCGTTTTTAATTTTGCGTTTTGTTCATAGTGATAACTTGCTTCGTTTTTGACTAGTGGCAATGACTGCCCGAAACCAGTAAGTGAAGGAGGAAGGAAAGAAGAGAGGAACGGGAGCCGAGTGTGTGTTTGGAGTGCAGAATAAAAAAATGTCAGAGCGGCGCTGCTGGTGTGCACAAGGGCTGGCCGAGAGGGAGGAGGGTTGGATGTCCGATGCTGACGTAAGTTGTTCTACATAGTCTAAATATAGTCGTCACGGAAGGTACAATGCCAATCAATGTTCTGCGCTACTGACACCCTGGCCATATACCATACCCAGTCTCATGGTCGACCAGGAAAAGTACCGTCTTCCGAAACCCAGGTTTCACTGAGGGCGCATGGGAAACAAATCGGCTGTACGTCTGTAAGGGCAAACGTCGAGTCACTAGCATTGATTAGTTGATTTGGTAGACGGACGGACGTGGTAGGGGACCAGGCGGAATGTCGTGAGCTGAGGGCGCATGGGAAACAAATCGGCTGTACGTCTGTAAGGGCAAACGTCGAGTCACTAGCATTGATTAGTTGATTTGGTAGACGGACGGACGTGGTAGGGGACCAGGCGGAATGTCGTGAGCTGAGGGCGCATGGGAAACAAATCGGCTGTACGTCTGTAAGGGCAAACGTCGAGTCACTAGCATTGATTAGTTGATTTGGTAGACGGACGGACGTGGTAGGGGACCAGGCGGAATGTCGTGAGAATGGTTCAGTTCGGAAAGGATAACCACAACGGGCTGGTGTATCAATGCGGGGTGCTGTCGGCATTGGCAACATGTTGCGGTCGGGTGAAATGCGGTTGGTTACAATGAAGAACAAGAGAAGCGGCTATGATGCGTACCACCTCAATGGTACAATTTTGTTTCGTTTTTGGTGTTATTCCAACGCACGCACACAAGGAGTTAAAGCTTGATGTGATTGCCAAGGGACCACCATTCCCACCCCTCTTGTGTGTGTTGGACCTAACGTACTCGTGAATACATATTGGTAACGGGGGCGGATCGACTTGTGAGCGATGACAGTCGGTCCTGAATCCCCTTTGTGGAAGCCTTTGTGGAAGCGGTATGTATGCATGTGGTCGAGGCATCTTGAGTTTGCGGGATATTTCGAAGTTCGGAGGATATTGATACTGTTTGTCATATGCTAGACTTGGTGGATGGTATGGGCAATTGCGTTGTACAAAAGGTGGACCGCCTTTGTTTGCGTATTTACGCCTTGATTTGCGTGTTCACGCGAAGAGGTCCCGCGATATAAATGACGGGTTAAGCATGCTTGGTGGACGTTTTCGCATGAGTTTGATTTTGGTGGGAAGGTGGAATCAAAGGGACCACTGAAATTGAGGTGAAGTGGAGAAAACTTAGAGATATGTTAAAGCTCAAAGCACTCATCAGTTCTAGCAAATCCGCCGACGCATCCTAGAACGGAACAACGGTCATTCCCGGCGAGAAAGTGCTCGGAACATAACTCCATGCACTAGCGCATGTGCGGGACATGTGCCCCCGCAACGCCACCAAGCATTATACCAAACAATGGGCACTCGGGGGGTTGGGGGACACCACGCTTGTTGCCAGCTCCCACTCCCATCCCCTCAAAGGTGCTCCATTCCGGTGTGCGTATCGCAAGTGTACTTCAAGACACGCCCAGTCCAGAGACTCTGAACGCTTTCAACTGTCTAAGAACGTCCCGCCGTTTGTTGCTGTCTTCGTTCGCCCTCTCGTCACCTGCATCTGCTTCAAGAAAAGACTGCTAGCTAAGAGCTTCGGCATCTCTCTCGTGGGAGGCTTGGCGCGCACGGCCTTGGAGCGCTTGGCGCTCCCCTCTCCCGCCCACTGGATGACCCGCGACACGAACGCCTTAGGATCTGCCAGCCACTCGGGCGCCGCTTCTACGGCCTCTGCTGCTGCTGTCGTGTTTGTGGACCCTTCCCCCGCGTCAAGACTAGCCGAGTCCTCGCCTTTACTTTCACCGTTCTGGACTGGATGTGCCGCTGTTTTCGCACCCGGCGTCGGTGTTCCTTGGGTCGAGACTCCCGAGGCAGCGGTAGCACCACCATCACCGCCACCAGCACTATCGGCCTTTCTTTGGGCACCCGAATAACTCGCGGGGGGTTGTTCCCCGTCTCCTTCTCGTGTCCCCCCTCCCCAAGCAGGGTCGTCCGAATACAACGATTCCACGGGCGGGACGGGCTGGTTCTCAACGCCTTCATCGTCGGCAGCGCAAGGCGATTGGCTGTTCTGGTCCCTCGCCAGCTCGAACAGTCCGGCGATCACCACCTTGAACTCATCCGGCATCAACTATCATGTGTAACCAGCCAAGACAAAATGGTCGGAAGGAAGGGATCAAGGCCAACGTCGAGGGGTGTCGTTTTGTGTGGTGTGGATGGGAAGTACTTCATGTATGACACAGCTGGGTAAGCACGGTCGCTGATTTTGCCTCAAGTGCAATGGTGCATGATGCGATCTGAGCGGGCCGAGAGAGGGCGAACAAAGGTACATAGGGGAGGAGAGAGGGGGGAGGAGAGTGGGGGAAGGGGGGAAGAAAGGCGTAGACAGGGACTACAGAGCGGGAAATTTTGAAGAAGTTTGGAGAACTTCCTTGTGGTCTTGTCCGACATGTACCCCGCGCTTAGTCCCGTAGTGCCTCTCCCTGCTCGTTTCTGAGGCATCGTTCTACAACAAGGTTCTCGATTTCGACATGCATCGCGCCAATCTGAAGGTGAGACGCTGTGTATCCAGTCTAGGTGATCGGAACCTACGCACGTGACCTGTGCCGTAAGAGGTATTCGAACGTCTCTTTTGTTTCTTGGTCTTATTTCGTTCGACAGTCGCTCGTCGTCGGACAACGGTCTAATTTCTCTCTTCACGTCTGTCAAGTGTTAGCCTACAAAGCAATACGGCGAGGTCAAAGGACCGAAAGTCTGCATGTGTGGCAGAATTCTTCCTCTAGACTATTAACAGCTCTTCAAAGAAACCTGTCCCCTTCACCTGGAGCGTGACCCGTTCGCTCAAGGTGCCACGACTAAAAAAATAAGCGCGCGAGACTGAGATCCGTAACCCCTCGATGCAGGCAAAGATGCTATCCACTCATGCTCACCTCCTGGTCGAGCAAGTCGAGGTCCACCGTGCAGGGTGCGGCGCCCACGAGACACACCGTAGCCGAATCCACCGTCGGCAGAGGAAACCCTACGCCTCCGCCCCCCAAGGCGGTGGACGACGATAGTCTCAGCGCTTCTACAGGATTGCCTTCTTTCTTATCGGGATCGGCGACCTTGGTGACAGCACCGCGTGGCGGTGTCGATCCGGCGATGTCCGGAGTCGCGGGGCCATCTCGGCTCTGCAGGAAAGCATTCGCCTGCTTGAATATCTGCTACGTTTGGACACAGGCAGTGAGGCAGGCGGCAGCGGCGAGTGCTCAGGCATCGTGTTTTGCGCAGGGTGAGGGCGATTGCTCATTTTTTTTTTACTCCTGGCTGTGCCGGAGGGCGCATTGCGGGCAAACGGCAGCTGTTTGGGTATGATAGGCAGGTGGTGGACAGCATGTTTCACCGGTCACCGACAGTAAGCACTGTCCTTGAAGAATGATTGCCTTCCGCGGCAAATCCTTTGAGTTCGTGCCGTAAAATCTTCTGTACAGCAAGACTGATGAGCGGGGCAGGGGCCAAAATGCTCACAACCACTTTGTTTCAAGCCTCCCCAGTTCTCACGCTAGACAAGCTCCTTTTTTCGCGAGAGTTCCGACTGGATTATCTACGCTACTGCACTCTTGCAGACGAGACGAAATCCTTAGTACAATATCATGGTGTTTCTTGGTTGTGCCGCACCCTTTTGACATCCTCTGACGTCAGACCGACCCGTTCCTGTAGACCAGCATCTCGGGCCATCCTCAACAGGCCCCTTAGCGTCATCGGAACGAGCAAAGGCCCCGAGTAGATACGGTACAGAGAGCTAACCTGCGGCGTGGTAAGAGTAGGATAGCGCACATCATTCATTCCAAAACGGGCTACAGGCACGGCCAAGGTTCTGTTGATGAGCGTTGAACGAGTTCATGTGTCCGGCGAGACACGTAACACGACAATACGGTTTAAGTAGTTTCGAAACATATGCATGCTGTTTTTCCTATCATTTATGCACGATGGGTGCGGCTATCGTTATTGGGAGAGAGCTCGCGGACAGTTCGTGCATTCGGAAAAAAACACGAGCTGTAGATTCCATGGCAGCAATTTCTGGCTGAAGCAACTTGTGCTCGTGAACTCTGGTCGACACTCGGCAAGGGCTGCAGTGTCCACGCAATGATCTGACTGAAGGCAAGATGGCGTTTTACACACTCGAATGATGTACTACACCGTGAACACTCTTCATTTCCTGAGAGATCCGCCCCCTCTCGTACCAAAACCAAACATCATCTCCCGAAACAGCGCAAAATGGGGGGGCTTCGAATTTCGCGATAAACCAACACTCATTCTTGGAAAAAAAAATGCCATAAACAACCTTCGTCGAGCAAGCAGCGGGTAGATTTTCGTTGTTGTTCTCAAGCCCCCCTGACCATTGTTTACCCACACTGGAGAGCAGCTGAGCAACGTGCTTGTATAGTTCAAAAATATGCACAGAGTGACGAACGAAAGATGTAAGACTAACACAACGAACTCATTTAGTCGGCTCTTTACATCTCGGTTTTGTGCCGCAAGCATCTCTTCTGGGTGGCTGTGCTGTAGGTGAATTATTGCTGTGACTTAAACAAATTTCATTTCTCACATTCAACGATAGACTACCGGCCAGCCTCTCTCTCGGATGGCGTAGTTGCAAAACTGGACACATGTCTTTCTGTCGTTTTTCGCCACGACGCGAACGCAGAACATCACGTTACTGGCGCACACTCAATGCCGGGCTTGGGACAACAAACACCAGACGCAGTACACACCCCGTCTAGAATTGATGACTGAAGGGTAGATGAGCCCTTCCGGGGAAGGTCAACCATGAGACAAAAACGATTCCCCGAGATCGGCCGATTTTCTCGGCATTAATATGCACAATGTCCTTGCCTGTTCCTCTGCCTCGCCAAGTTCTTTGACACAAGGTGACTCCACTGGGCCAACCCCCTTGTCCTCGAGTTTGCTGTCGACCGTTCCCCCGGCCCCCATTCTCGCCACAGCCGCACCACCCCCTCGCCCGCCCTTACCACCGCCAGTCCCGCCCCTGCCCTCACCCCTGCCGTCGCCGTCGCCGCCGCCGCCGCCGCGGCCGCCGCCCCGCCGGTCCCCCTCTCGTACTCCGCCGCCGAAGGCAGCGTTAACGGAGAGCGTCGTCAGGAGCTCGGAAAGATGGCTTCCTACAAACCGCTTGAAGTCAGCGTTCACGTTTATCACGGCTCGTCCCTCCGTGAAGCTCTGGGATGCTCCACCCCGATCAATAACGCCTGCTGCTGACACTGCCGCTGCGGCATCGCGGGTCGCAGTGACGTCGTTGCTGCTGACGGTGTTCTCTCCGACAGCCGAGAGTGAGAGCGACCCCCCGCCTTCGATAGGCGCTGTCCCAATCCGAGCTAAGGCGGACGATCTTGGAGTGGTGGCGCGGCTTGCGGAGGGGCTCATGTTTCGGGGCACCCCGCCCCCGCTAGCTGCAATGTTGGCGGCGGCAGTAGCGGCAAAGTTGTTGGAGCCGTCACCGGTTCCAGCGTGGAGACTCACCATTCTGGCAAGCCGCACGATGCCCTCTGTGTACTCTCGGAATGTGATGGCCCTCCGCGAGTCGTAGATCTGGTACGAGGGCGGGCAGTAGGAGGCAGGGCGGTGGGAATGATGGTCGATGGCTGGCCTGGGTGGTCGCATGTGAGGAGTCTTGATTTGGCGAAATGGCATTTGTTTGTTCTAGAGTGTGAGACCGACGGCTGGGAAAACAATGTCGGTGTGAATGAGAAAGTCGATCGTGCAATCTGGATGCCGAAATACCAATGCCCGACCGCACTTCGGACAGCAACACGGCCGTGTGCGTTGGATTTCGTAACCGTTGCCGTGAAAGCCGAGCAACAGACTCGCCCACCAATTGTTAAGTCCTCTGCGACTAGAACGTCACCTTTTGGAATGGAAAAAAGAAAGACCTACGTGAAAGACCATGTTCATTTATTGACCAACTTTCCAAGAGCCCAACGGATCCGCAACCGTCAGAAAATAAAACGGAACGCGCACATCCGTCCAAATGCCAACTAATACGCCTCTCCTAAAAAAAAATCGTATCAAAAAGCCTTCGTCTGCCTCTCACCCCGCCTTCGGTCTCGAGATCGGAACGCGCCACGCACAGCTCCTTCTTCCCCTGCGGAAGGCGTCCATCGCTATCGCTTTCGGAGCAGTAGGCACTACTGTGCCCATCCCCATCCCTCTTCTCCTCTCCACCCTCCCCTTCGATGTGTTCGGTCGAAGGTCGGTGGCGGTCGGTGGAAGGTCCACTTGCCATCGCCCTCTCGAGACTCTGATTGAGCTCAAGCGTGTGCTGCCGCCTCATTCGAAAGAACATTCGGTACACCTAGAGGACGAGTCGATGACATGCCGGTGTCGGGTGTCGAGTAGCGTGGCGCAAGCTATCCGATAGACAAAGTTTGTTACCCGATAGTAAACAGCGTTGTTCTCGTTCCAACCTCACATAAGTTCTTGCTTGAGCGGACGTGGTGGTTCATGCGTTTTGTTCGTCAAAACATCGACAAATGTATCTATTGCCTCTAGGGTGACATCTGCGCCTAGGCCATTTCCCTTTTCTGTGAAGGAACTATTATATGAACCGGGTTCACATGGAATACTTGATCGCGGCATTGGGTCATTGGTGTTTCCAAATTCCTCACCTCCCCGACCGTCACCCGCGTACATGGTGCGAGGGCTCGGCAGTCCCTAGCGAACACCACAAACTGCTCCATCGACATGGTGAACATCGTACTGTTTTTCCGTGCAACCCGGGAGGAGGGTGTAGACGTTGTTGTTGAAAAGAGAAAGGTAGGTGTAGATTGCCCGGTAGCTGATGGGCTTATACCTATTTACCGATGAAGGGCATTCGATATTATTCTTGTGGCGTGCATGTATATGGGAGTGAAGAACTGATTGAGCGTTTTTTGGCGGCAATAAGAATCTGGGGCACCACTCGTAGCCTACAAAACTTCGTGTGAGCGACTTGCACAGGGCTACGGCATATAATAGGTAAGGCCGAGTGGATTTTTCTTGGACGCAGCACAATTGTACCTCTCCTAGAAACTGTTCCTCATTCGGACGAGAGGAATCGTCCACTGGTGTTCAACCGCCTTTCAATGTCCCATGAAAAAGCACAGGATGTTGACCGATTAGAGAGCTCCAAAATCCGCAACATGTGTGTGGCTGTCCAACCCTAAACTAGCTGCCGAATCTCCGACGCGAGAGACGAAACGAACCTGTCTCTGGGAGCGGTCATCTCCGGCTTGGCGTAGTGCTTGTACAGCAGTTTGAGGTCGCTGTTGATCTATCGTTTGGTGCGGGATGTGCGGGATGTGCGGGATGAAAGGGCGCAAGGGTCGGTGTGAGTACGGCCCTTCCATTTCCAAGTGTTGATTAAATGAAAGTCATGCCTTCAGTAGTCATTTCAATGAGAGCGTGGTGGAAACTTCTGAATAGAGTTGATGATTTGGGTCCTTGTTGGTTTTGTACACGCTCTCTTTTCCCGATTGTTGGCCAACAGATTGTGTTATTTTTCCCTGCTTGACACAAGTAGTTCATGAACGCTTGAAAAGTGGAAAATGACATCGATGAATGCTTGAGCTTTGACCTCGACCTTTTCTTGCCGTTGAAGACACGCCTAGCGCCGGATCGAAACAGCACCGCGGAGTTTGTCTGGTAAACCCTACATGCCGGGGTGCAGCACTACACTACGATTTGGCATTGCATGTCTTTCCGCAATACTGAACTTGACGAATACGTTATCTCCCTATCTCGTATGGTCCATCAATACCTGCAAGACGGACCTCTCCACATCCCTGACGGCGGCCGCTCTTGCTACCTCGGTTCCTGAGCTAAGGATATCGGCAATCTTGAGCTTCACCGCGGCCGACAACTCAGGATGCTCATCATCCTGGACACGTGTCAATCGTGCCGATTCGCTGTAGTCAATCATTTACTACGCTTTTGTAAGTGAGTTTCTCGTGTCTAAAAGCTCTGTCGTGAACGGGGTATGCAAGGTCAACCGTGTTCGACGCTTTCTCACTTATCTGATGCCTATTTCTTACCCCTTTTGGCGTTTTGCTTGGGTTTCATTTACTGTTAAGATCATCTTGGTTTGGAGCACAAGTGTATCTATCAATCACCTGTCCCACTTTGCCGAGCATGACGTCGTCATCGAAGAGCCCTTCGAAAGTTCTCCCATTGTCTGACATGAAAACGGCGGGGCCGTGTTTCTTGTTTTTACGCCACTGCCCCGTGTGCCGAGACCCGTCCGCATACATGAACGTGCCCTAGATTCATTTCCACATGAGAAGGTCGGAGAAAAAAACAAACCGTACTTTCGAGTCATCTTTTGGGGTGCGGAGGCATGCATGAGTGTTGCCTTGTTCTTGGTTGGTGAGGAACCTTGGTGTGTGTGCATCAGCTCGACAGGGACCTAATAGCCGTCTGCGTGGTTATACTGGCTACTGCATGGCTTCAGATTGAACCTAGCGCGTGAAAACAGACTAAAGAACTAAACCATTTCTTCCTAGAACGCGTTCACTTCTGCTCTAATGGGTGGAGCGCACAGTACATAGAGATCGAGCGAGCGGAACGCATCTACCGACACATATCAAAGCAGAAAACTTCTTGCATTGTTCATGCATTGTCAACAGCATTCTACCCCGCTTCCTCCTTTTTGAGGTATTGCTCATCGTTCTCATACCTGCCCGTGCCTCATGCCGTCGAGCCACTCTCCCCTGTAGACGTTGCACATCTGCTTTTGGGTATCCATCGATACTGCAGATACGGGCCTGAGGACGGGCGGCGCACACACAGAGCAGTGCCAGACATCGTTCGGGGACTGAGAGAGGAAAGGAGAACCCCGAGAGAAACACCTACAAACAAGAAGCGCTTCACCGTCGAGATGACCGAACACCCTTTTGTTGTCCACCTCCACCCTACCATTTGGGACAAAAAACTTCATACCCCCCGGTGATGCCATTTGGTCTGAAACCTTCTAAGCTCTCGTGGAAGTTTTGAGTATAAGCACGAACTTCCACTTGTTGTGGCTTCCTGCAGAAGTGCAGTGGCTGTGGGGGGTTGGCATCTTCTGTCGTAGTCGGTTGTTGCGGCTTCCTGTAGGAAGTGCAGTGCTTGTGAGTGATGGGCATTCGGTACCGTACATTGTAGACTTGGGTCTTGCCACAAGTGTATGCGTCTATGGGCGGCCCTGGTGCGGGGCTCGTCGGTGGTAAACAAAAGAACTCGATGCTTGTAGTAGTTAGACACGACTCCTGCATTGCCGGAAGAGAAATACTCGAGTAAGTACTTGTGATATGAACGCTCCCTCGAAAGTAACTCGCGGCCGATGCGTCTACTCGCTGCTGCTGCAATAGAATATACTTCTGCAATGACTTCTAACACAAGCGGTCAAGGGGAAGATTCTCGACGACCACAGTCAGTCACACCCCTATTTTGAGAAGCACGATGACCACTAGACCACTAGCTAGCGCTGACTAGTGGTCTAGTGGTCATCGTGCTTCTCAACAAAAGCCTACAATGATACGCATATGGATAAACAGTCCCTATCCTTATGTTGAGAGTAGCCTCCACTTCCAACAAGGGCCTTTCAAAAGTCTGTTGTGGCTGCACTGCATGCCCGTCCTCCCTCGCTGTGCACCTTTCCTCAATCCACACGTGTTCGCCGTATCCACACTGCAGATCTTGCTTCCAGTTTCCGGTGTAGCGCTCGCGTCGCTCCTTCCAGTTCATGACGCCCATGCCTTCCTTGTGATCCTGTAAGCCAGGCCAACCATGGACAACCTTGCATCATTATCGTTGCCGCTCGCAGACTGACTGGGGAGGTTGTGCCTCGGAAAAAAACACCTAAAGTCGTGCTTTGGTGGTTGGCGAGATCAAACCTAATCTAGCGGGAAAATACTCCTTCGGTGGGACTCCTTCCACTGTCTATCAACACGTTTTCATCCGAGGCACCTAAGAATGGTGTTGCCGCTCACCTCAACCCACTCCCCCTCGTAAACGTTTCCCGAAGCATAAGTCATCGTTCCATGCCCATGTCGGCAGTTCGCCTTCCAATCCCCGGCGTACGACGACACGTCTTTCGTGCCGACGCCGTACCGCTGCTCTCCGCGCCCGTGGCGTTTGCTCTTCTGCCAGCTTCCTTCGTAAACCTTGTTTGTTTGTTAGGCGGTTTCAATTCGGTCTCAGACAGCTGTCGACCGCATGATGAGCCTCTTGGTATTGTATGTTTTTTTATTTTTCCCGCATTGCTGCTCTGCAGGAGCACAGAATAATCTGTAGCACAACAAACAGCATATATGATAATCGAATGCGGAGCGCCGAGGCCTTCACGTTTTGCCTCCGGATTCCGAGAGTATTGGGGTCCGAAGGTTGGCCGTTTTCACTGTAATATCCAAAACCGGCCAAGACACGCTACACATGAAATAGACAGAGAGCGAACGGAGTGACTGCGAATCCGAAGAGACTTCTGCAAGGGAGTACTCTCCGCGGCTTTCGGAACAGGTCCTCTTTCGTGTTCTCCCCAAACCTACAGGCTACAGGTGCAGTCAGAGCGGCGAGTCAACATAGCTGCCCAATCGAAGGGGCGCTAGGGTTTCTATGTGTTTTTGCACTCAATGCACTACACATCCAATCGTGTCCTTTCACCTACAGGGGAGACGTTGGCTGGCTCACCAGCGTGCCATCAGCGCTGGTGAAAACGCCATGACCGTCGCGCAAACCGAGGGCCACCCCCCCCTCGTAACCACTCCCATCACTCCAGGAGTATCGACCGGTTCCGGTGATTTCGTTGTTTCTGTATTATGTGAGAACGCCACGAACCAACAGTTTTCACGTCGGCAAATCGTTGCGGGGGGGCACATTCAAAAGGCAGAGCGCCTGTTTCAACGCTTGCTGTACTGAGCAGCACCAGTTGGTTAGAAAGTCACTGAGAGTTGTTCCTGGCCAGCTGGGCTTCACGACTGCTGTGTGCATTCGACCCACCACAGCTCTCGATGAGCATCTAATGACCTCAAGACGACAAACAAGCGGTACTCATGGATGGTTTGCTGTCTCCCGCGGTCGTGAGTAAGCACCTTTGCTACATTGCTGCTTTGAAAGAGTTTCATTCCCTGAATCCGACAGCGTTCGACTTCTAATGCACTTTGATGTGTTGGCCACGAAGGATCATTCAAACCCTTAGTCAGAGAGATCAGCCGACAATCGCATTAGGGTAGGTAAATAGTGACTCTCACTGAACGGCGAACCCATACTACAGTTGCACATCACATTGCGACTACTGCTTCGCCCACCTGAAGTCTCCTTCGTACACGGTTCCATCGGAGATCCAGGTATAACACCCGCGACCATCCATCACGCCTCTGCGGAACTCCCCGCTGTATTTGTTCCCGCTCCGGAAGAGGGCCTCGCCCTGCCCGCTGTAACTGCTCGATAGCAAGAGAAGTGCCGGCGAAGATATTATCCGCATTTCAGCTTCTTAGCACATCGTTGTGACTTTTTCTGTTTGCGTTTAGGAGTGTAGTGAACCCAAGCTTCAGTTAGATATACCGTTGGCGTGGCTGGACAGCTCTTTTTAACGAGCAAGGCTATCATCGTGTAAAATATCATGCTGCTTGAGAAAATAGAATATAGCCCCTCTCCTATGAACGTGTAACAGTTTTTTCGATAAGGAGGGATACCTGCTGGAAACTGGACGTATTCATGATTCAGTCCTTACATGAGAAAAGCGTGATGCCAGCCAGAACAATAACACCCATAGGTTAGATGTACCAGGTATACGTTTTACAGCATATCCCCTCCAAGGCTCTGCCTAGTACAACGGCAAAAATGTCCAGGAGAAATCCTCCTGGTTCAAATTATGTGTGAACGGGGGCACAGAAGAAGGGATTCAACACCCACGTGCTGTTACCCACAGTAGTACCGAATTGTAGTTGTACAGCGTAGCAGTGTAGAAATTCCATTGTTGCATTGTTTTCACGCTATCTCCGTCGTGTGCCGAACATGCTACATTGGTGTTAGAGTTAGAGATGACCATTACTTGCAAGTTAGTTTGTTGCGCGATTCCATCCAAGTAACAGGATCCTTGGCTTGGCAGCTGATGTCATATGCGTGGTTAGCTAGTGCTGGGCTCGCTTCCAAACGACGTCATATTACACATAGCGCCCAAAGAGCACTCTAAGATCCTCACCACCCGTGCTCATCGAACCCTCCCTTGTAGTGGTCCACGATAATCGCCCCCAGCTCTGGTCCTAGCATGTACTCCGAGCTCGTCGCGCTTTCGACGGCAGCCATGGCTGAGGCTGAGCGTTCAGAAGAACCTTGGTAACGTGGACGGCCCGACCTCGTGGCTTTGGTGCCACAACTCAGATAATCTTTCTCGTATTCCTGCGCTCTAACAGTCAGAGAAACAAGTCATCCCGTCTGAGTCCTCCGTCTGCCTTCATGCGCGAAATTGGTCGTAGACAACGCCCAAAATGACGGTTTCAACCGCTTCCCGAACCTTGTGGAAATCCTGGTGTGATCCCCCCTTGTTTCCGCTAACACTACACTCTGCGTTTCCCCTGGACGAAAGCTGAGCTGGACTGGGACGAGAGAGAGCAAACACAAGGGCAAATAGCCACCGGCATGACGGCGGGCGGAAGGAACATATCATGGGTAGCCGTACTGGCAAGCCTCTGTGTTATCTCTAGCGTGACCGGATTCCAGACTGCCGTACGGCCCGCAGCGCGAAATGCTGGTGGGAGAAGTAACCGGGCCAATCCAACATCATCACCTGACGGCAGCAGGACCGGACTTGCCGCGGCCTCAACAGACTTTGGGGGGATGTTGGGAGACAAGGTGGCCTCTGCAATCGTCGGTTCGCCTATTTATCCGCTTCTCATACGGCAAGCGAAGGACACCATGAAGAAAAGCGCAGAGGTGTGTGTGTGCACGCGATGCAGCTCATGATCAGCGGATCTTCGTGCATGTTTTGGAAAAATAAGTTGTTGAACCTGGTCCCAACGTCACCAATGTCCTCTCAAACAACCCAATGTCCTCTCATTCGCCCACACCTTCGCCAGAGCAACGGTTCTAGCTGTGGACTCTCACGAGTATCATCACTTGGAGCATGATTTACTGGCGGAATTCAGCACTGTAAGCCTGTAAGCTCTCTCCCTCTCTCTCTTCCTCGGTCACGTCCTCTTCACTAGACTGTTCGTTGCCGATCGCCCTGAGGCCTCCCGCTGTCCTCTCTGCCATCCTCTGCTTGCTGCTTTACTTGCTCCGATTTAGTGCGGACACGAATCGGATGTTTTCTACAATCTATGCAAAGTGTGTCTGCTTGTGTTCTCGCTCGAACTATCCTACCAAGTGTCCCCAACACATACCCTACGCTAACTTTCCAGATGCCCGTTACTTTCGATCGTGATCCAAAATCCAATCGTGTTCCTTGACACTCTGCGTTCAAGTATTTTAAGGCGCCGAGCTTGTCCCCTCCAACACTCACCGACTACGTTTGCCCACGTTCTCTAACCCCATCACTGGAGCCAGCACTATATACGGCCCGGGTAACATATCCGCTGCCCACCTCACTCTCGCAATTCCTCTCCGTCGTTGTGCTTGCTTCCGCAAAAGGACATCGGCGTGGATTGGGACGCAGAGGTGGCGCGGTTGCGAGACGCCCAAGACTGGGACGCGGCTCTGGCAGGTGCACCAGGGGCTTGGAGCCATACCAAAAACAGAAAGCTTGAGAAATACTCTTTATCTCCATCGAAATTCGGAAGTGCAATGATTCGGCATGGCTGTTATAGCACTCTTTCGAGATACGTATGCACACAACGTTCAAGATTTTGGCGCGCTGACCCCCGGCTCAATGCGGGCAGCTCATGTTTATCTCAGAATTGATATTCTTCACAACGAGAGAGGTGGGGGCAATGGCGTTTTCCGAAACCACTCATACGTATCCTATTAGGTGGTCATGTTGTTGATAAAGATGAGCAAACTCTCACCGCTGTTTTTTCTGTGATATCTATGCGATTGCCTCCTCATCCATGCCAAATAATTGGCCACCGACGACACATCTGAGTTGCGTGTGGCACCTTGCACCCCTCCTCGCAACAGGGCTCTTGGAAACGTCTTCCGTGGAGGTCCCTGACTATTACAAGAAGCCGTTTCACGCCTATGCGGACGGAAACCTGTGCTGGGAGGCAGCCTGGGAGCAACACCTTGCTTCCAAGGCGGTCGGGTGAGGGTTGCGCCACCCACCCCTTTTCGCTCATCCTTGAGACCCAATGCCAAGCTCTTCGGCGTGCATGTACCCTGCGTGTTTGGTGGAAATGACGGCGCCGTTGGTTCCTCATTGCTTTTCGGTCTAGTTTCATCTGTCTGTCCATGGCATAGTCTCGATGGTAAATATTGAATCTCGAAGGGTGGTCTTCCGATTTCTCACATGTTTCCCCCGTGGGTGGGCAGTTGACGAGGTTTGCTGAATATGCCTCTTGTATTTGCGGGTTGGTGTAACAATACCAAGCCCGCGTAAACGAATACCCACTCATGAGCCACGCCCCGACAGCTGTGGTCTCAGATGCACACGCGAGAGTGTATGAATGGCGTGTGGAACAGCGGAGTGAACCCATGCTTCCGACCCTTTCCTGTGCTTCGCACACATAGCTACGGTATCATCTCCACAATATTTAGTGTTCTACCTACTTGTGCTTCTTCGCCTAGAGACACGACGACCATTGGGGTCCCGGCAGCACGAGCCGACGCCATGATGCTCGAATCCCCCCCCCCCCCCCCCCCCCC